TTACTCCGGACAGAGAACTATGAACCAGGGCTCCTGAACTCCTGAAATACAGCCTTGGTCACTTTGCGAGAAAAAACTTGGACATCGAGGAATTTTCGTCAATTTTCAGAGTCCGTCTTGATTCCCTTCTCTTAGTAGGTCAAGCTCGCAGGGTGCTCGTCAAGTGTATTCCATCTTTGCGTCAAGCTCCCGACAAACTTTGTTTGAAATCCAAAGCGTGGACTGCTCGAATTCGGTCGATGACTATTGACACCATTGTGAGCTCCCGGAGAATCATTGGGGAGAGCTATCACCGATCGGGAGATGCTCCTGTCGGATAGAATTTCGGAATAGAATTGCGGAATAGAATTGTCTGCGCTCGAACGAAGGGAAACTGCGCATAAATCTCAGCATCGAACGAGCTCGGAGCCGCGTGACTGTCGGGCTCCGTCTCCGTGGAACCATTGTCTTCATGCCCGCAACACCTACACTGTTCTCAGAGAAATTACTGCGATCTCCATCTCCGCAGCGGAGATTACCACCGGCCGTCAATCCGCCCATATAGAAGAAATAGCATTGACGGTGGAGCGAGGAAAGGCTGCGAGTGCTCCCTTCACCGAGGTGGTGAGGAACAGGTTTCGCGGATGACAAACCAGAGGCACGCAAAGCGAGCATCGGCCTTGGAAGTTCAAGCATCCATGCCGCTTGGAAGTTCTTCGAATGGCCGGCAGGCCCTCGGCAGCTCTTCATAATCTGGGGCGTCTCCCAAAAGAAATCCTTGTTGGGCAGGTACCCGCGCTTGGGTGCACCATCCATTTGTACATCCCTAGCAGACAACAATAAACCCACTTGCAAGCGTGACCCCAGACCGGCAAGTTCATATTCAAGTCACTCCATCACTTTCCCGCTTCCGAGGCAGATGCAGGCCAATCCCATGAATCGCAAGCAGCGATGGGAGGAATTCAAGGATTACGCGCTGTGCACCGAGGTATACTCTCAGCCCGCGGCCGTACAGATAGCGCATTTCCGAACGACTATGGGACCAGTATGGAGAACACGCATCGCTCATTGTCAGCTCTCACCATCGGTGGTAGCGCCTGCCACGCCGGGCCAGGCCGACGAATCGAGACATGTCATGCATTGAAAACCCTGATCAAGGAACTGGACAAAGAGTTCAACAGCCATCAGAACATTTTGGGACTCCGAGAGTACTTTCACACATGCCATCTAGAGAATCGCGACATCGAGGAATTCATCACGGAAGTGCAGAAACGAAGGAGCGCTTGCGCGTTCCCGGATGGTCTTAGAGACGAACTGGTGAGAGACCGTCTCGCCCTGGGAGTGAGAAGCCAGATTCTGAAAGATCGAATCACAGCGAGTGAGAAAACTGATCTACAGTCCTTTCTCGGAATGCTGCGGAGATCTGGAAATTCGAAGAACCGCGCCAATGGCAGCGGCGCCGGCGGAGCCCCTCTGGCGGGAAGACAGAGGAAAACACAGAAGAAGATGTTCGGTTCGTTCGATCGAAACTGAAATACATCGGCGTTGGGAAGTTTGCGAGGAACAAGTGCAAATGCGGATTCGAACATGAGAATGATCGGAAGGAATGCCCTGCGAGCGGGAAATCATGTGCTAACGCGGTAAAGTGGGCCATGTTGCTCGAATGTGCGTAGTAAAACAGAAGCAAACTCATCAGGTCACCGTAGCCCCCGACGCCGAAGAAATGGAGTATGATCGGCACACCACGGAAGAAAGCTTCGCGGTCAGAGTGCATTCGGTGGGAGACCCGAAAAAGGTGCGTCTGATGATAAATCTCTAACTTTGTATGTACAAGAGGCTAGCTTCGAGAGGTATGGTTGGGAGTTTGTCGCAGACCAATGAGATATTGAAAATGTACAAACGGAGATCTGAGCAGATCGCTCGGCAGATGCTCAATCCGATGCGCGAACGAATCGATCGAGCATTACGTAAGATTCGAGGTCGCGGACGTAGCCGAGAGCCCTCTGCTGTCCGCCAACTGATCACTGAAACTCGATAGCATTCGCTTAGGATCGAACACGGAAAAACTTCACGGAGTCGATCGAGCGGATGCGTCGACGGAGTGTGATCTTTCGGCTCTACTGCGGAAGCACGAATCTGTTTTCGAGGGATCGGGGGAGCTCCCCGGGGAAGTGAAGATCCACCTGCGTTCAGATGCGGTGCCAGTCCAGTGTCCACCGCGCAAGATACCTGCTGCCATCAGGGAGCAGGTCATTGACCAAATCAGGGAGCTCAAGACTCTTACTACCGAAGGAGTAGAAAACCCGACGCCGTGGATAAGCCCAATTCTCGTGTTCCTACGCGGAGGGAAGAAACCAAGGATCACCCTCGATCCATACCATCTTAATCAAGCGACTAAACGTTCCCGCTTCAGACTGATGAAATCATCGTCTGCTACGGCGTTCGAATTGGACGCACTGGCGACGAGCGCGAGAAAAATCGCAAGTTCTCGTGTTTTTCGTGTCCAAAGTACGTGTCAACTCCCAAGAAGAGGATAAAACAACGGTGGACATCTATCGTAAGTATCGAGTGTGGCAATCCCCGCCTGAAATACCTTGATTCGCGGAATGAGTCTCAAGGTCTGCAGCAATTGTCTCACCGAGGCGAAAAGAATACTCGCCTCCACTACAAAATGCTGCGTTTTCGGTGAATTGAAATCTAGAGCGGAACAACTGCTCAAATCTAAAATCGTCGCCGACGAAAATGCGATGGGCCACTCGATGGAGGCAGAAAGAATGAGGTGAGAGCTCATCGCCGCTAAAACTCAAATAGGAGAGTTGAATACACAACTCGATGAGTTAAAATAAAAAAATAAAGAGATATCTCTTAAATTAGAGGAAACATACAAAACTCTCGAACAACAGAAGTTGGAGATCGGCGCCGTGGAAACCGCACAAGCCATAAGAGGGATGAATATCGGTGCGGCTCACCTGGCAGACGCTACTCGGAATCCGTGTATAATACTCTACTCGGACAAGGGTCTGCGGAGGCTTCGTAGAGGAAAGCCCGATATCGACCTCTACACCAACTTCGCTGGTCAAGTGACTTTCGGAAAATCGGTCTGCCAAAAAGAGCTAACGACATTTGCAGGTATCAGCGATAACCTCGACCAGCATCCAGAGATGAAGGCACACATCATTTGTCGTCTGGGAAGAGCGGAGGTGGCCGCGGCTGTTCAGAGCGAAACGCCTCTGACGGTCGAGGGCATCGCCAAGCAGATCATTAAACCCTCAGCGGGCCTCAAAATGAAGCGCGGGGTTCTACCAATAACGTGGTGTACGATGATGGAACCAAAACAAGTTCCGAACACCGCGGCTGTCAACAAAGCGATCATGGAGTCGCCAAAGGTCAGAGAAGCCCAAATCGGGGTTTTCGATCTACGAATCCTTTCGGGGGATGATCGGAACCTGACAAACACCGACCAAGACCTCATTGAGGTACAATATGCGGAGCCAGTACGAAAAACACTGTACAAATGGTTCGAAAGCCATATTATCTCGATGCCGGAACTCACAGCCGCCGACAGGGAAGAAATCTCCAAAAAAAGGAGGCTTCCACAGCGATCTTGGCTGAGCGTGAGCAGAAGCGAGGAGAGGTCCAAGAGCTTATCGACACGAAAAGAGAGGTCCTGAAAAATACAATGTCGGAACTCGACAAACCAACGTAAGGCCTTGCCCGAAATGCCCATGCGGTAGAGCTGCCAACGACCACGAACAACCTGGGGCTGCAAAGCAGAGCCCAACGATCGGAAACGGCCGGTCCAAAAGATCTCCATAACCCAAAACGGGGGAGGCAATTCTCGTGCTCGCGCGAAACAAACCGCGCTAGAGCCGATGGCCACTCCCAAGGGAAACCCCGAGGGGGTGGGCATAGCCAGAGCCGGGAACCGAAACGCGATCGACGGGACAAACCGTCTACGAGCGGCGTCAAATTCGAGAAACACACTTCGAAATGACGAGTCGCGGGACGTCCGGAAAGGTGGAGACGAGGAGGCCAGAAAAGCAAAACCACTAGAAGAGCCTTGAATAAACTCAATTTTGGTATACTCAATGTGAATGGTACTAAATCTAACGCCTACAAATGGGCCACCTTAGAACGAGACGTCCTGATTAATTTGGATGTTAGCGCAATGCTCTTATCAGGAACCAGATTGAAGAACGGAGAGCGTTCCCTTCCAATACAAAGGTACACGTTCCACGGCAGACACCGGAAGGTAGCAGCAGCAAGAGATCCAAGGGGGGCGTCGGAATCCTCACCAGATCAGAACTCGAAATTATTTTGACTGAGAAAGGAAGGCACAGTTCCCCAGCAATTTCTGCTCCGACCATGCCTGTGGGGGGAGGGGGGGAGGCGCGATTCCGACGAATTAAGGATTCGCCATTTCTTCTTAGAAGTTTTTCGGCGACGAAATAAATCGAGGCGCATTCCGATCAAGCGACTTCATGGCAGAAGCGGCTGATTCTGATCCGTATGAGGGAACCCCGTAGAATCGTCTTCGAGGCTGAAGAGCGAGAGACGAACCTTGATGGGTTATCCCCGTTGTGTAGCGAGAGTTTTCTCCCATTCGAGAGCCTCACGAAAGCTCCTCCACGGACATGAGACCCTTGACGAGAGACGCTTCCAAGCTGGTGTGACACAATTTTCTCCCGCTCCAACGCAGCGCTTGGGAGATCCCCGGGTAAGCGTCAGAGTCCTGAATTTCTAATCCTCCCACACGCACGCCTGTCTGAATATCTGACAAACATTATGCGGTACGAATCTCGGGGATGAATCCAAGTCAGAATAACGGTGGTGCGATCCCGTTCGTAACATTCGCCGGAATATTCCGTCCATCGGGGCTTCCGAGATTGAGGCGACGGGAAAACTTCTCAGGAAATCCAGGAATCGATCCCGAATGCTCTCTCCACTGAAACAGCTCCGCTTCGAGACGGTTTCGTGGAGTGGAGGATTCGACGCCCGAATTCGAGAGCTCTCGACATCGACTGGTGCTCGAATGTGTCTATCGGGCCCCGATTCGGCATGCTTCGAGAATTTCGTCTCATGGAAAAATCCGCCACCGTGAGTTCACAGCAGGATCTCTCAGGTGGTGCCGTCTTTGGCTAATATCGAGTGAACCAAATTCGGCCATCCCGAGCTCGGACTAGAATAAAGGCCGCTAGTCCACAACACGTGACGCTAGGATCGCCACTCCTCAATTTATATTGTCGATATAAATTTCCTGCTCCGATATTGAGGCTTATTACAGTTGTAAACATCGTGGCCTAGCCGGAATGCAACATTGACTGACGGTGAGTTCACTCTTGATTCAGCCGCATTCGGCGGCGATGTCGCAAAACTCGGCCCGAAAACCCGCTAAGAGCGAATGCAGAATTCTCTATTGTCAAGTCATTATTACGTCTCCCGCCGTAGTATTTATCGTAGGCTAACGTCGAGGCAGCTCTCCAAGTCGTCAACGCTGACGCGGCGCTTTGGCACCACCGACGCTGCAACCACAATCGCCACTGGGACTGCGACCGGCAACGGCAGAAACCACAACAACGGGAATACAGACGGACTGACAAGCACGGAGAAGGCAGCGGACAAACGAACAGACTGTAACTAACTGGCAGCCAGGAACGACTCTCATCCCCTTGGAAGCGCCCTCTGTTGGTCTCCTTCAGAGTTCCGCCATAGAGTGCTAGAGAGGCGAACGAGAGACAGTTGGCTCAAGGATTACGAGACAGCATGCGGGAGATTGTTCACGTTCAAGCCGGCCAGTGTGGCAACCAGATCGGAGCGAAGGCAAGTCATGAATCTCTCGAGCTTCTCCCCTGACCGATGTTCCCTCAGGGAGCATCCATTCCCAAGTCCAGAAGTTCCGGAGTAATTTCGGCATTTTTTTTCCCTCGCCTCTCACCACTCCCTGTCCGATCAATCATAAATGATTATTGTCGAGAACCGGATGCTTGTCCCTCGGAGACGCTACCAAGGAGTCCTGAATTCTCTCATGCATTCGGAAACGAACGTCTCTGTCGCGAGAGTTCCAGATTGTCACGAGAACTTTTCGGCTGAGACCTAGGAGTGGTTTAGGGCTGCCGAGCCGCTGACTCACTTTTGTGTCATTCCAGTTCTGGGAAGTGATCTCGGAGGAACACGGGATCAATCCGAACGGACAATTCCAGGGCGACTCTGATCTACAGTTGGAGCGCATCAATGTCTATTATAACGAGGCAGCCGGTAAAGTAACGGAAGAGCCGGTTCCCGGTCTTTGGAATTTTTGAGCCTTCTTTCGCGACGGACTTTTTACGAACACTCGAATTCTCATAACTTCCCTCGGTCAGCTCTGAGCAGGCCCCGCCGAACTTGATTCGTGTCCCATCCGTGTCGAGCAATTGAACAATAGTACCGAGGTCCATGATTTAATTGTGAGCCACGCTTCGCTGGAGACGAACCGTGGATCGAGTGCCTTAACGGTCTTCCATTTAATTTCGTTTAGGTGGCAAATACGTTCCGCGATCGGTGCTGGTCGATTTGGAACCGGGGACGATGGATTCGATCCGATCGGGCCCCTATGGAGCTTTATTCCGGCCGGACAATTTCGTTTTTGGTGAGTTTTCAAGAGAGGCACCGATGCCATGCCGTCCTGCCGCTAACATTCAGCTCAGCGAGTGCGTGGTCATAGGTAGAGCGATCGGCTCCCCGACCGGTCTAGCCGGCCAGGCAAGAGGCGTCATCTCCGCGCCGCTTGGACCGTTGGCACAAGCGTCGACCCTTGAGATCTCGTAGTATTTGTAACGTCCGCGCTCGTTATCTCTCCCTATACCGGGATTTCGACATTTTCGTCGAGCGCTCACTCGAATCTGCGTTCACTGAGCCGGCCCGCTCGAGGAGTGACGCGGACCGCATCGTGGTCGGCGGAAAGCAGCAATGAGTATCGTTACGAGTCGTCTCCGATATTTCAGGTCAGAGTGGAGCCGGCAACAACTGGGCGAAGGGTCACTACACCGAGGGAGCGGAATTGGTCGACTCCGTGATGGACGTCATAAGGAGGGAGTCCGAACACTGCGACTGCCTTCAGGGTTTCCAGCTCACACATTCGCTCGGAGGAGGAACTGGATCTGGAATGGGCACTCTGCTCATTTCGAAAATTCGGGAAGAGTACCCAGATCGAATTATGAGTTCATTCTCGGTTTTTCCCTCCCCGAAGGTCAGTCGACACACACCGATCTTCGATTTATATTGGAGTTGGATTTCCACGCGAGAAAGGGTCGACCGAACGTCGTGAATTGCCTTCCTCAGGTTTCGGACACGGTTGTCGAGCCGTACAACGCCACCCTTTCGGTGCATCAGCTCGTTGAGAATACCGATGAGACATTCTGCATCGACAACGAGGCTCTTTACGATATCTGCTTCCGAACGTTGAAGCTGAGCGCACCCGGCTATCCCGAACTAAATCATCTGGTTTCGGCCACGATGTCAGGGGTAACAACCTGCCTCCGTTTTCCCGGTCAACTCAACGCTGACCTCCGTAAACTGGCTGTCAACATGGTGCCGTTCCCTCGACTGCATTTCTTCATGCCAGGCTTCGCCCCTCTGATGGCGCGTGGATCGCAGCAATACCGTCAGGTGTCGGTGGCGGAACTCACTCAACAGGTTTTCGATGCGAAAAACATGATGACAGCTTGCGATCCCCGACACGGCAGATACTTGACCGTGGCAGTGATGTTCCGCGGTAAGATGAGCATGAAGGAGGTGGACGATCAGATGTTCTCGGTGCAGAACAAAAATTCCTCCTACTTCGTCGAATGGATTCCCAATAACGTCAAGACGGCTGTGTGCGACATCCCCCCGCGCGGGCTCAAAATGTCGGCGACGTTCGTGGGCAATTCCACCGCGATTCAGGACATATTCAAAAGAATTTCCGAGCAGTTCACAGGTACTTGCATCAAAAGCAGCAACAGATTTCTGGATCCCATCTTAATTCGAGTTTTCCTGTCGACAATCGAGGGCTGGGATACCGCTAGCCAGCCTTCTTTTCTGCCGTGGAAGACTTTGGAGTTTAAATAATTATCATTGTTTCTTCCCCACAGCTATGTTCCGACGCAAAGCTTTCTTGCATTGGTATACCGGAGAAGGCATGGACGAAATGGAGTTCACCGAAGCGGAATCCAACATGAACGATCTTGTTTCCGAGTACCAACAATATCAAGAGGCCTCTGCGGACGACGAGGGTGATTTCGATGAATACGAAGAGCCTCACATCCCCGAAGAAGCCGAGGAAGACGAGGAGCACTGAATGGGTTGAGGAGGTGAGCCCTCGCCGGAGGTCCGCGAAGAACTTGGGCCGGACTGCTGGAATCAACAAAGCCTGTGAAAATTTTTACCTTTAATAAACATCCCTCGATGTGTTGAGAATCATCGTGTTTTCCTTGAGGACGACCGCTTTTCTGTCCGCCGATCAGGACACCCGTGGAGTTTCAGCGTTGCGAGTCCGTTGCGGACAAGGTCGTCGTCAACTCAATCCATTCTCATTCTCGAGCGATGCGACTTCATCGTAAATAAGCATACTTCCGAAGGGGTGCAAAACACCGTAGCCTCGCCGTCGAAGCACCGCGGGATCCGCTTGTCAGCTAGACAAGCCGACCATCCGACCGGGCGGGCGAGCGACAGGCGAGTTGGCAGACAGGTTGGAACTCCATTGGAGTTTTGTCTCGTTTAGGTTCTGCGTTGTCATGAATACAAAGTAGGGCTACATCGGCGTCACGCAATGGGTCAGCTCACCGTTCTAGAGGTACGATCACAGCGGAATAGACCTTGTCACATACCTGTGGCAGCTTTGCGTCCCGCTAACATTCCGCTGACGGAATTCGCGTCTCAGACGTTCCTCCTGCGTCTACGCGGAGAAATATACGCGGAAACTCGAGGAACGTCGTTCATCGAAAGGCCGTTCTCGCACTCGTTCCATCGTCGACGTAATCCTCGAAGGGCAGACGACCTCAATTAGGTATTTAGCATAATCACCGGATAGGAAGAAATCGATGATTTTATTCGTTTTCGCTGAGCTCGACCGAATCGTAAGAGTCGGGTCGGGTGGAGGTCAGGTGCGGAATTCCCGGGCAGGTTCCCGAATTCTCCCAAAAGTATGTAAATGTCAGGAATGTCGGAAACCAAGTTACCTTTCGGTGCTCAGTCAATGCGGGAGCGCGCACTCGCTGACTGTCCACAGAGGTATTTGCTCAAAGAGGAAATTAAATGTAAGCTAGAGGAAAAGTCTCTACTTCCAATAGACGAATCCTATTTCGTAGTTTGCCGCGGGCCTGTTCGCACGACGTTACTGGGGGAATCGACGGAAACCATTGTGATCACCGAGCGCTTACCGCTCGTCTCTCCGACCGATTCTCGCTCCTCTCCGTCGGCTCGCTCCCCAGTTTTCATCCGTTCGTCTCGTAAAATCCCCCTCCCTCCTCCGACATTTCGACTGAACAATACCCCCCGTCTCCCCCACCGACAATGCTATGTCTTTCCAACACCGCCCCGACGCTCCAAGTCGGCCACCGGCTCGACAGCCGGGAAGTCATTCAATGTCCAATTGGCACCAATTAGATAATTCCAATCGGATATCGTCGCTCGAACGTATTTCCTCGCTCGGCCGTGACGCTATAGACATCAATCCTCGCTGGCTTCGACTCGAATTGAATCGCACCGTTACGGCTGATTTGAGAATCATAAGATGAGGCCCATTGAGCACAGCCCCTTACAGTCTGACCATTTGATACGCAGCTCCGCTCGGGACCTATTGAGCGTTGGAATGAGGTTCCAAGTTACGGGAGCTGGTGGGCTGGATCCGCGCGAATAAATAATTCTCGAAGACTGTAACTGGGGAATCTCACCGAGGTCGTCATCGAAGCGTTGCGCACTGGTCGCTTGAATTCTATTGACCCAATCCGCCTCCCTCGCAGGAACCTCACCGAGACCCCGTCGGACATATTTCCCTTGCGCGGGCCGTGTCGGCAACCTTGATGCCTTGACTGGCAAAATCCTGACGGGAACTTCCGCCGAGGAGAACTCCCTCCTCTAGCTGATAAGAGAGGTCGAGTAGAAAGGGCGACTCCTCGAGAAGCGGGATCCACGTCCCCCATACGCAGGTGTAGGCTCCTCAATCCCTCCACTTTTTCGTGGTGCCAACAAATACTTCCGCAACTCGACCAAATGTATACGAAAGGAACACCGTCTGTTCATTTATCAGAACGACTCTAGCACCCACTGTGCAGCCACACCCCGAGGAGCCTGGCCATGCTTCTCATTCTAGCGCCGATTTCATTCGAGTATTTGGCAATCGATCCTGCGAGCCTGCGTCAATCGAATGGATGGGAGTTATGTAGAAGATTTTCAGGCGTTCAGGACTTCATTGTGGAGGGAATGATCAGTGATCATTGATCACTCACCCGTACGATATTCGGGAACCAAGTGCACGGCACTGCGTTTTCGATTGTTGTTCGGATCAAGCTCTGAAACAGAGCGCCTCGAGGATCGGTTAATAGTTGGGAGCAGGAACACAATACCAGGAATTCCCGAGTCAACCAGGGGCCCAGAGATCGTCGTCAGTGCATAACCCTCAAGATTAATTGCGGATTCATTCGTTAACGGATTCGACTGAAAAATACACACATGATATTAGTTCAGTGCCGGAGGTCCATCGATCAACAGACCGAATATAAATTGCGGAATATGCAAGAGCAAAAATGGAATCGCACATTTGAAGCGGAGTGGATCTCCTGTGGAGGGTAGGCTACCGAGTCGCAATAGATTGGCCTCTCGCGACGATTGCGCTGCCGATTTCAGGACATTTAGAAACTCCTGATACCCGTAATCATTTCCGCTCCTGGCTTGCCATTCCTCCGCTGAAATAGCTCGCAGACTCCTGATCATCCTCTGTGATGCCGAGCAGTAAATTCGACCAGCCACGCAAACATCGCTGAACGTCGCCCGAGGATTCCAAAAAAGAATCAGCGCTCTTGGTGAATCTCGGGGGCGACGCCCACCACGTTCACCTTCGTACCTTCGGAATGCAGGATCACCTTCCCCTAACCCCGCGATATTTTCGTCAATGAGGAGCGGGATTCCTTCACCGACACCCGGTAGCGGTGATCAGAGACTTGTTTTCGAAGCCCAGCAATGACAAGCGCGATTTCGATAAAGTCTCCGCCGAACCCAGAGAGCTGCCCACGGAAAATCGCGAGGCGTATCCACGAATCTCATTCATCCTCGAGCACCCTGTCGTGGACCTAGGAAAGCTGCCGAATTCACCCGCCTGACGCTTGATTAGCGTTCTAATACGTGACGACACCGCATGTCTTCTGGCTCACCGAACATAGTCGAGTTAACACTCTCGAACCAGCGACGTAGTGCCAACTCCTGGAGCGAACTAATTGGGTTTCGTACCCCTGCGAACGTCACGCCAGGCAAAAAGGAGCATGAGATTCTACTTCCGCCTTCCCTACTGCTCCACTGCAGAAGGGAAGGAGAGCCGAGTAGGAGAACGCCCACGGAGCATTGCGAACTCGGTCATCCTTTTTCGCACCGTAACCGCTCGTCGAGCTTATCCGGCGCCCTTATTGAATATTTTCCGCGTTATCTCCGCCGGCTCTCCCTTGATGAAGGCAGCATAAGTCGACTTTCCGAAGTATTATCCTGTCTCAGGCTAAATATAGCCTCGACAGCATAAAGCGTCTGGTTTGAAGGTCCCAATGAAACGCTGTCATTGCTAAATAGAACCGATCAGTTGGGGATTTTCACGGGAATACAATGTCTCGGAGTTTCAAGGACCACTCGGGAACCGCTTGTGGATAAATAGATAATAATCTGTATTAAAATAGCTTTTTCATCCATTTTTTGAACCATGTCGAAAGAGATGTGTCGGACACAAATCAGTGCTCTTCGGGTATATCCGTCCCATCGCCCGGCGCCGTTTCCTCGTATTCGCCTTCGGCGAACTCGGCCTCTTCATCTTCGGCAGTGGCCTCCTGATATTGTTGATACTCCGACACAAGATCGTTCATGTTGGATTCTGCCTCAGTGAATTCCATCTCATCCATTCCTTCACCGGTGTACCAATGCAGGAACGCCTTCCGACGGAACATGGCTGGAATACGGATACATATAATAAGCTGTCGCCGACATACACGGATTTATTTGTTCGGTTGCCGTGCTCTTCTCTATCACTCTTCGTTTGTCGCTCCGGATCGATGTGATCATTGTGGGCACAACTCGTGCAAGCAGACGCTCTGATCCTGGGAAATTGAGGCCGTGCGGGGCGGCGGAACGCAGACGTGCGAACAGCAGACAGATTAATCAGAACGGAGAACAAAGGAACCATGCACTGGAAGAGATTTTCCCCAGTTTCAGGATTAGCTCCGAGCGTACCGGTGAACTGCTCCGAGATCCGCTTGAAAATTTCCTGGATCGCCGTGGAGTTCCCGATGAAGGTCCCCGACATTTTGAGGCCGCGCGGAGGAATGTCGCAGACGGCTATTTTCACGTTGTTCGGAATCCATTCGACGAAATACGAGGAATTTTTGGTCTGCACTCCCAGCATCTGCTCGTCGACCTCTCGCATGCTCATGCGTCCCCTGGAAAGAGGGAAAATATTGAAAGCGAGAAAGCGCTCTCAGACCGGAGAGGACTGGGAGCTAGTTTTGCCGTACTCGAATCATTTTCAAAACCCATGTTGCCTGATTCCTAACCTGAAGATTGCAGCCACGGTGAGGTAGCGACCGTGTCGGGGATCGCAAGCCGTCATCATGTTCTTTGAATCGAACATCTGCTGAGTGAGCTCCGGCACGGTGAGCGCGCGATATTGCTGCGAGCCGCGCGCGGTCAAGGGCGCGAAGCCCGGCATGAAGAAGTGGAGTCGAGGGAAGGGAACCATGTTGACGGCGAGCTTCCTTAAATCGGCGTTAAGCTGACCAGGGAAACGGAGGCATGTTGTCACTCCAGACATGGTGGCCGATACGAGATGATTGAGATCGCTGTAGGTGGGGGACGTGAGCTTCAGCGTTCGGAAGCAGATGTCGTAGAGGGCTTCGTTATCGATACAGAAGGTCTCGTCAGTGTTCTCGACCAGCTGATGGACGGAGAGGGTCGCATTATAGGGTTCCACGACGGTGTCCGAGACCTGTACGGAGCGAGATGTCTCATGAAAATGCGCGACGCCTCTTTCCCGGGGATTCCCCGCTGTTTTCGGAATGAACTCCGGAATTTCCCCGCTACGCCTCCTTGAATTCGGCTTCCATCTCATCTCTCCGGGAGCACCGACGTTCCTCACTGTATTTTCGGTACTTCTGCTATCTATGTGGTAGTTTCGGGGCCGCGGGGTTCGGACGTCGTTATTGCGTCATCCGAGAAGCGGCCATGATTTCAGACGCGGGATTATGAGATCAGGACATGATCCGCGCTGCGTAATTCGTGAGCCTCTGTATCGCTTGGCATCATAGTATCTCTCCGACCTCGGGGCAAATATATTCGGAAAGAATCAAAAACTACTTTGGCAGATTGACGTAGCGGGCGGACGAACGTTCCTCTGCATTTCGTAATAATACGTACCTTGGGCGATGGCACAACGGAGAAGGAGCTCATGATTCTATCGGGATACTCTTCCCTGATCTTGGAAATGAGTAAAGTCCCCATGCCCGATCCGGTACCGCCTCCTAGCGAGTGGGTCAGTTGGAACCCTTGTAGACAGTCGCAATTCTCCGATTCTCTCCTAACGACGTCCATTACGGCGTCCACTAGCTCCGCTCCTTCGGTGTAGTGTCCCTTCGCCCAGTTATTCCCCGCTCCGCTCTGACCTACGTGAGTTGCAGATAATGCATTATATAGGGCAGCAATACAGGGAATGGAGGACACTGTGAAGGAGCTCCTGTCCGCTACCCGAGTGCGAAATACGGACTCCATTTATGATGTCTTCGGGAATGGCATCTTCGCATGCTTGAGCGCTATATATCCCCGACTTCCACAGATTGCACCTCTTGATTAAGTCGCCGTTCAGGAGTCGAGAAATCACTCACCGAATACGAAGTTATCAGGTCGGAAAAGTTCGCCGAATGGTCCGGCTCGCACCGAGTCCATCGTACCCGGCTCGAGGTCGACGAGCACCGCTCTCGGGACGTACTTCTGCCCTGAAATCAACATATCATGAATATTCATCATCGTCACCATCCCCGTTGTTTACGGTACCTTGTGGGCGCCAGAAAACTGTAGCGAATCGCCAGCCTTCGCTTGCTTCCTAGAGCTTGTACTCTCCCCCGCGACGATCTGTCTATATCCGTCTACCGACTCGTCGCGGAAAGTATGCCCGCTTCCGGAAAATGCTTATTCGCGATTTCTCGAACGCATGAATTCAGGAGAGGCGCGAGGACTGAATCAGCGAATTCAGAACTCCACCGCGACGTTAATTTCCGTCAAGCAAAGTGAATATGTCGTCTGCAGGGCCGAAAAGCTCAGGTGTGGGCGAAGACGCTGTACCGATGGAAGAATTTCAGCGTCGGAACATTCAATGCATCTTTTCAATGCCCCGGGATCATATCCTTTACACATTTCTTCGCTTCATCTCCGCGTTGAATTTCCTCGTTTCATTTTCTTTTTCCCCTTCATCCGGGAATCGTGTCGAGGAGCCCTCGAGGAGAGAAACTTGCAGAGCTCCTGTGAAATACCTTGAAGTCATTCTTGATGCTCACCCATGGCTTCGTTGTAGTACACGTTGATCCTTTCCAATTGCAGCACCGAATCGCCGTGATACGCGCCGCTGGGATCAATTCCATGCTCATCGGAGATCACCTCCCAGAACTGCCAATTAGAAAGTTTTCCTCAGAATCGAGTGAATCAGTCCCACAAGCGACCGCTCGGAAACGACTGCTCTTAGCGCTCAGGACGTCGTCGAAGGGCAACGAACCAAATCAGTCGACAGGGTGTTGAGTTCTCTTTCTCTACCTGCCGACGATTTTAGTACCTAATGACCATGTTGTTTTTGTTCCGTTCCCCGAATGTAGGAGCAACATCTATCGGCATCATTGTTAGAACCAGCTTATTGTTTCCTGCTTCTGCTTCTGTTCGTTCCGTGGATTGAGGAACGAACGTCGGATTCAGCTATTCCTGTATTGAGTCTCTATCTATCTATCACTCCCCCCGCTGGGAACGTTGCCTGGATCGGTCGGCTGCCGGTGTAGTGTTGAAATTCTGTGCGACGACGCCGTTGTCGTCGTCGCGAGAGAATAGGTCGGGACGAGAGAGTTGCCGCCTGTTCTACTCCGAGCCGGCGTTATCAAAGAGTCGTTGAGGTACAGCATCAAGGAAACAATGAAGGTTAATAAACTACCGTCGTTGCGGTGGTTGTTGTCGATGGCGTGGTCTTCGATGTTGATATGAGGGCTTGGACTTCACTGCCAACAGCCTGTCGGTCGCTCGGCCCGCCGGCCTCCCGATCGACTGCAGCCCGACAGAAATAACAAAGCACATATGAACACGTGGGCGCAACACTTCCCAGCACAAGGGAGCCTAATCAGAAATGAAGTCTGCTCTCCGTCAGGCTTTCTGCCGAACAATGCTGAAGACGACCAGTTGTGAGAATGCCGCCGCTCGGCCATCGGAATCCATTCAATCGAACCGTCGAAGCGCCTTCAAATATATATGTCGTGCATACGATCGCTTCCGCGTAGGTGATCAGTTTTGTGTTCGCTAAGTCTTCATTGAATAGATGTTGACGGTTCGAAAATGGTCGTGGGATCTACCAACCTTCGCTCCGATTTGATTTCCGCATTGTCCCGCCTGGATGTGAACGATTTCTCTCATTTTGTGACTCGCCTGCCGAAATGAGAATGAAGGCGTCAAACCTACGAATGAATCGTTCTGGATAGATCGCTAAATCGACTGCAAGCCACTACTTAGAACACCCCGAAATAACGGGTAAAAACAATAATGCAGTCCTTCCAGAGATCATTCAATCAGGTTATCATTAAATCCGTCGAGCCCGGGGGATCTGGAGATGCCGTGAGAATGAGCCCCGTCGGGCCTCTGTGAAAAACGCGGATACATAGAGCAGGCCTCCAAGCCCCATCAGATCCAATAGATCATGCCGAAACCAGAGACTCGAATCAAAAAATCTATTTGAAGCGTTGAAGTCTGCCGGAGAGCAGCTGAGTATTCACAGCACAACGGGGGAACGTGAGACTAGAATGAACAACAAGCCCCCGCAGACCACCGTCCTATTCTCGAAGACGGGAAGGACATCGACCCCGGCGACCAGGACTCCCACGATGCGGTATTTCGGAACTTTCTGATTCCGAGTGGGGGATTCCCCGCGCCAGAGACGCGGATCTGAGAATGCCGCTGAATATCTCCTAAAAGGAGATATCGAATGGGTCGGTCCGCCGAGCCTCCGTTTTACGCCAACACCCCTCGTTAGAGAATACCGCGCGGGATATGATCTCTGGTCCGGCACGGAAGACTTGACCCTTCTTCAAAGTGGTCTTGGCAAAGTCACTCACCTCGAAATTGAGTTCCGAACTGGAGGAATCAGGACAACCTTAAAAGTCAGAACAGGCCTAAGCTCCGAGCGAGCCCGGATCAGCGTAAGCTAGGCGCGCTTGTCTTCCGAGCGTCGGGGCCCTAACCGACGCCTGCCTAGTGGTAGGAGAGTGGTCGTGGTTGCCGATCGCGTCGCGTACCGCATAGGAAAGAGCGAGAGTGAGATATTTTTAGACCATAAAGCCGAGTCTGGGAGATCGGTCGGTTCGACTGACTACCGTCCCCGAGTCGTAATTCTTTGTCTCGTGACTAAGAATCAATCAGTACCCGTACTCCGTGAAATGGATTTCCTCGAACAAGTTCTCAGGGCTTTGCGAGCACTCGCGATCGCCGCACATCTCTGTCGAAATAGCCCCTTGAGACGAGGAGTCTTCGCTATCATTCACAGTAGAATCGAGTCATTATATCATGAATCATGATGAACCACCCACCAGCCGTTGCTTTCTCTGACCAGACGCACCTCGACAAAAGTATTTTTCCCTATTCATTCACCCCATGTGAAAAAGGAGGAATTGAGTGAATTATCGGGACATCGGGACTCTATTCAAAGAGGAAAAGCAATTTACGTCGCTCCAGAAATCGGTTTTTCAGAGGTGCGCATCTTCCAGGAGACTCCGGGGCCTTGGCCTGAGGAAGGCGCATTTTTATGTTGATCCAATAAGATTTAATGTTTGTCTTTTCCGCGAGCCGCCCCACCGGCCGAGCAAGGCTCAGACTTTGCATAAGTTGCGACATGCCAGGTGGCAATGACAGCTTGTTCCGCTCGTCGTGGGACATCCTCCACCAAAGAACTGACTCGTCGAGCTAGGACCGAGTGAGTTTGCTAAGGACACGCGTCTACTGACGTTCTTTCGGAAGAGCTTTCCGATCATTATCTCGTCTTGGTCGTCGCCGACGTAGCCCAAGTTTGACGACGGTGGCTAACAAGAAAAATGTTTACCCTCCAATCGAGGGACTCTTACTCGACCTTGTCTCCCGTACTGCCGTATTCTGCCGACCTCTACTTCCTGGGTAGGCTTCCTGCATCTCAGGGCTTTTACGAAATTTGCCGCATCCGGAGCGAGGCTCCATTATAACATGAAGAGGGAGCTGAACACGGAACGGATTCTGGTTTCGTCCCAACCACGACCTTGCTCAGTCCTAAAACAGAGGATTCGGGCAATGGCAATTTAGGCCTGATGAAATCGAAACCTCCCAGAAACTACATCATTAAAACCGGGCTCGAACGTCGAACGGAAAGACTGCGACGAGGCGGCTCCTCAGGTTCTCGGGTGCGCAGGCGTCCGAAAATGGTCCCGCTACGAGAATACATCCTATGAGTTATCCGAAGGATTCGCGGGGCCAGAATCAGTATCAGGTCTTGGTTCTGCGCCTAGTCTCGTGCCGTATTTGATGAACGAAGTCTTCGAAGTTCGTATCGAATCGCGGGGAATAGTCTCCCTCATCGGAGAAGCTCTTGAAGCAGACGGAGAATCTCCCAGCCCCTCTACTCTTCTCCTCCAATGATCTAGCTCAGGCTCTCTGCGCGGACCGGTTCGCGAACTCCATGCATCCTTGCCGGATCATTTGCACCCCCCCCCCCCCCTTCCATTGAGACATCCGGAAAATCTGGGAAGATTTTCCCGGGACTGGTGAATCCAGAGATTCAAACTCATTCGCTGGCTACGTGGGCGGTTCGATATTTCTTGATGCGGATCATAGGGAAGAGACAGGCTCAGTCTAGTTGTTGCTCCAGTTCGCCGCTGCAGGCGTTGTAGCTGCGACTCCCATGTTCCGCCCGCCGCCGGGATTTTCAAGAGATCACGTACGCCGGGACAGGTCGTTCAAACGTCGGGTTGCGGAACAAGAGCGAAGGAGGCGAGCGAGACAGACAGAGAGAGAGAATTGTGCTCAGGATTCAGTTGGCGAACCTCTGGTCTAGCGAAATCCATTACTTGGCAGACTTTCGAGGACGTGTCTCCAAGGTCGTCGCTTCTAAAGAAATAATCCGACATTCGGGCGACTCTCCTTTGATCGTGGGAGCGGATAGAGCTCAAGTCTTTGCGTAAGAAGGAGGTTCTCGAAAGATGAACTTATTTGATGCCCATATGCCTACGCTGATGATCTATAATTTCCAGGATTTCCCCACCGCGATCGTTTTTCTCGCTTGTGCGGGGTCGACTCAATTTTCCTCTGGAAGTTGGGCATCGTCCAAGATCTCGAATACCGTACGCGCCAATAGATTTCCTTATTGGGACCAGGTCTCGGCGTTTCGACAGCTCTAGAGAGTGATGAATGATTCTGGTGGGTGGGCGCGCGAATATTAAGGCAAATCAACCTTGGTGAGCTATAACGGAGCTGGCTTCCGAAGGCGTAATCCATTATACGACTGCGGTATGTTCCTCGTTCCTGCTTATATAAGCTAACGACGTGATCAATTGATATCCGGAATGCGAATTCCGTGGGAATTTCTCCTCTGCACGAGAGTGGGACTGATCGCTCGGAAAGGTCAAGTTCTTCCCGGTCGGAATAAGGGCTCTAGTTTACGTGCTTCGCGAGGAGCAGCTCTGACCGAGGGTTCAAGCACCGATGATGCGCTCACAAGTTTCATTCGTTATCAGCATCGATGATGCCACGACTACTGGAATCGGCCGTGAGCGATTCTTGACAGAGCTGCCGATGCTGAATTTCAATCGGGGGCTGGATCGGCGTCGGCTAAAGCCCTGGAAGTTGCGAAACTTCGCTCTCGCACTGCTGCCGCTAAAGGATGCATCAGCCTATAGTGGCGATACGGCGCAACGGGTTTTTATGCAAGGTTAACGCGAGCTTAATTAGGCGCTGGTAGCGGCTTGTTAACTGCCCCCAGGCCAGTCGGTCGTTCACAACAACATGCAGCGTCGTGCGAAACCACTTCGGACGCACGAGACTGAAAAGGGATTACTTTGATACTTTCGCCGCAAGGAGGCTCTCGTCGACAGTCAACTGCCTCGGCTGTTGCGGCGGTATGAACATGTAACCGGTGACGGCGGAGCTCAGCGACAAAAAGACGCCCGCTGTGCATACAACAATGAAAATGCTTGACATTCAAGCAGCTGACGCATTCAAGATGCATCGACGTCATCTTCGTGGCTGCTCGATAGAGGAAACGAGCCTGGGGAGGACATTACTGGGTTCTTTTAGCAGGACTTTCGGCTCGGATAGAATTCGATTCTCGCTCGTCCGATTTTGCTTGGCTTGCAGAATATTCGGGAATCCTTCGGAGAGCCTCTCTGGAATGTCAGGCCAAGCTACGTACGTGGAACATGCAAACAAGGTATGTAGCAGGACAGTGCGTGGGCAGGAGGACGAAGTTTCTCCTGCACTATTTTTACTTGGTCCAGTTTGTTCCAAAGATCGTAAGGAGTGCAACAAGCAGGTTCTGCATCGAACAGACCCGAGTGCCGCTTGTGCCGCATCGGTTGTGCGTTCTCCTTTTTTAGAAACCTTCCTCAATCAAGCGGGATCAGGTTGATGTTCCGAAGACGATTAGAATCGTCACGCAAGACTTGAAGACTCCCTCCCGAGGCAATGGTAGGGTTCGCTCGATCTGGGAACGGAGGAGAAGTCCAAGGATTCCCAATAAATTGTTGTCGGAATTACAAGCTTGTTTGTCCTCTCAGACGAAGGCTTCCACAAAAAACTAAAATTAAACGACGATGAGAAACGAACAGGAGGACGGGAAAAAAGAGGAGAAACAAGCAATGAACATCAACTCGAGAAGTGCAGGTAGGGAGAATGGGCAGGGAAGTGACCTAAAAAGAGACAGTGAGATTTCCCCTCCGAACCCTTACAATATCCAATGCTTGCGGAATGTCACAGACTCGCGTTGCGTTGGGACCTTGCGGAGAGCGCTCCATCTCGAAAGAGTAATGTAAGTGGCGTATTCCGCCGTCTCGATCCCGTGAGCGATCCCCTCGACGAGCGAAGGTGCTCCGATATTTTTCCCGTATCCATCGAGTTGGAAATCTCTCTTGGGCTTCGAGCCGCAATCCACCTCGGCGCGACGTCTCCATCTCTCCGTCAGAGCCCGAATGGATGAGTCGGGACATGACCGCATGAGATCCACTCCTTCCAGATGAATATCATGGTCCAACGCCAAGCTTGAGAAATTCTCGGAGGCGAGATCGCATTCGAATAGCATCTCGAGAGACGGAGCTGCGATGACGCCACAGAGCTCGACCAGCAGGCAACGCCGATCGGTAGACGCCGACGTCAGGCTTAACCCCCGCTGCTCCTATTGAGCTTGA